TCAATTGCTTTATCACTTCGTTATACATTTGTTACAATATCCCATTCAGTCCTAAAAAGAATATTTAATAAAACGTCATTTTTTTTAACGGTACCTATTACATTGATGGAACTATATTAATTACGTTATTGTAATAGCAATATATGTATTAACTTCAAATCGTTCCACTAATTATATTAATTTCAAATAGTTCCATCAAATTTATATAACTTTGAATAGTTCCATTAAATTTATATTAACTTCAATTAGTTCCATTAAATTTATATTAACATCAAATAGTTTCATCAAAATCAATTGCAGATATCACTTATCAAATGGAAGGCTCATGATGGTATTGGATTATGTATTGATTGGAATGGTAATACAAATTTTCTGATAAGCGGTGGAGAAGATTGCAAATATAAGGTTAATCACAAATACATACTCAAAATATTTCGCATTAATTAGACAAAAAATTAAGTAATTAAGTTTTGAGAATTTATCAATTTTTTTTATTGCTTTTTACTATATTATATAATATAAAATTTTTGCTTATTAATTAAGTATATAGTGAAATTTTATCATTTTTGATCATTGATAAAAATTTATTTTATCATTATTTGATAGGTATGGGATGAATATGGACGTCCAATGTATTGTAGTAGTTCACAGGACTATCCAATTACATCAATTGCATGGAATATTGATGGTGATCTTTTTGCTGTTGGATCATTTAATCTTCTTCGATTATGCGATAAAGCTGGAGTGGGCGTTTTTTTCCAGAAATTTTAACTATTCTAATAAATGATAATTAAAATTTCCTTGACCTTTACAATATGTTGTAGAAAGTTTCTAGACAAAATTTCTGTTAATTTAATATTATTTTAAACATTTTTTCTTTTTCAATCTCAAATTATATTAGTAATGATAATAGTTAATAATAATAATAATAATATAATAATAATAATAATGATAATATTAATAATAATAATAATAATAATATTAGTAATAATAAAATAATAATAATAATAAAATAATAATAATAATAAATAAATAATAAATAATAATATTGTCGAAATCATTTGTATTTTATTTTATAAAAGAATTACATCATTATATTATATGGTCACATATGTATTTTATCATTTGTAACATTTGCATTTTAATACATTATAGTGGTCACATTCATTAGAAAAACTATCAACGGGAAGCATTTACAATATCAATTGGTCACCTGATGGTACTCAATTAGCTGGTGCATGCTCTAATGGAAATGTTCTAAATGCTTATTTAGTTGAGAAGTAATCATTCCAAATGAGTATTTCCGAAAATTTGCATTTCTTTCCTTCTTCATTTTCATCGTTAAGCTTTAATAATTATGCAAATTATTGATCGAAATAAATTCCAAAATTTTATCAGATCAATTTTCTTTCCAATCAATTAATTCATTTTTGAATGTAAAACAAAAACTTCATTAATAATATATTTTTAAATTATAAATTATAAAAATTAAAAATTAATTAATTTTTAAATAAATATTAAAAAATCATTTTAAGACGAATTACATGGCGAAATATTGAAGCGATACAGACAAAATGTCAAATGATCGATATTCGTGATGTACTTTCTGATGTTGCATGTGAAAAATTAGAACTACGAGATCGTATCACTAAATTATCATTTGGTTTTGAACAACTTGTAGTAGCTACGATTAAACAATGCTATATTTTTAGGTTAATTTTACTTTTTCTTATATGTGGTAAATAATAGGGTGACAAGAAGTGATCAGAGATGAATATGATAAATACCGGATAAGCAGAGATATGATAAGTGTCTAGCACTATGAAGTCTTTTTTTTTGACAATGTGAAAAAGAAGTGTAATTGATTATATTTTCCATTTACTGATTAATTTCCTGAATTCCTGAATTCCTGATTATGAATGATAAACCTTTTTTTCTTCACTATGCAAAATTTTAGTATAAAAAATTGGAATACACCGATTATAATGGATTTGAAGGAATGCAATGTTACACTGATTATGCTTTGTAATAAGTATGCACTCTTCGTTACTTCAAACTTTCATTTTCTGTAAATGCAAAAGAAGAAAAAGTATTCCAAGGAATTCAAAATGATAAGAGATTAGAGATAAGAGATAAAATTTTTGAATTAAATCATTTTCTCATCTATTTAAAATACTACGAATAATTTTTGCAGGTATTAATTACTGTTGATAGTTTTTCTTTTTGCAGATATTTTTTATTAGTTGATGGTGGTTTAATACAGGTGTATAATTATGAAGGTCGTATGCAAAGTCTTATAAAATTATCCACTATGAGTATATCCGGAGGAACAGTTAGTGAAAAAACCGCTGCAATTTCAAATGATACGATAGCAATTCGAGATCGGATCGATTTGAAAATAGTGCATTTTTTTGATACAATCACTGGAAAAAATGCTAGCAATGGAAAATTTATACATACCGTAAGGATTTGATAAATTTTCTAACTGTTAATTAAGACTAATTAATTAATTGAAATTGCTTTAGTAATTAGTCTTTTAATAGCTTATAAAACTAAGTCAAAAAACTTATTTGACTTCCGAAAAAAACTTTAAATATTTTGCAATTTTTGTAGATTTAATTTATTCTTCTTTTTAAAAATCATTGGTAGATTATTGATTGTTTTAAATGATTGAAAAAATTTTTCGAAAAAAAGAAATGTTAAAGAATGATATAATCGAAATAGCAATCGATCAATGTGGATCAGCGATTGATCGAAAATTAGCATTTATCGATAAATGCTTGGATTGTTTTTTAGTAGTTGTAAAAACTTATGGTGTTTATCAAAAAATTGCTAAAATTGGTAAGTTATCTAAGCTTAAAAGATAATTGTTGAAATTTTTGAAATAAGAAATTCATTGAAAATTATGAAATTGAATTTCTGTAAATTTGTTGTAAGCACATTTTGCTGTAAATTTGTTGTAAAAACATTTCGTTGAAAATGAATTTATCGTATTTTTCTCATTTAAGATATCTCTTCTAAAATAAATAAATTATTCCTAAAATTTCAATGAACAAAAGATCATATGCTAAATTTTTTTGGAATAATTTGCAACTTTGTCGTAAGGAAAATTTTTCACTTATATTTCAAAATTTGAATTTACATTTATGAAATTTAAAAATTAGTATTGAAGGTGGAATGGTGACAAATATTCGTTTTAATGATCAAACAAATATGCTTGCTGGTTTGCAAGACAATCATCTTATTGTTTGGTTATATCCAGCTGCTGTTTTTATCGATCGTGATCTACTGCAAAAAGCAATATTTGAAAATAATGAGAATAATTTTGGAAAATTATCATATCTACACAAGTTTGTTTATTAATTAATTTAAAAGAAAAATTTTTAAACAAAAGTTTTGCAATTAACTAATAATTCTTATTTTGAAATTTTGATTATTCGCGATAATAATTAATTATTACCCGACAATTACTCTCAAGGAAAAAATAACTTAAAGTCGTATTTTTAACTAAGCAGTGAAAAAGATCGTTGATATATCTAAATTATTTCTATATTTGTATATTATTAATAGCTTTGTCGGAAATCATATATCAGTAAGGCGTTCTGATGGCGCACTTATACCATGTATTATAACGCCATTTGCATCCGCTTTAAATTCATTCATTACTGACAACAAATGGAATCAAGCAATTCAACTATGCCGACATATTCGAGTAATATCATTTATAACGTTTTACAAAAATATTGCAGAATTGATAAGAAAAAAGATAGATTGTTAAAAATTTGATAAAATTATGATTATATCTTCTTCTTCATAATAATAATATTAATGTTTAAAGATGAGAATATTTGATTTAATTTTTCATTTCTAAATTTTATGTTGATAATTATTATTATTATTATGAAGTTATTATTATTTTATTATTAATAATAACAATAAAAAATTATTATTATTATGAAGTAGATATATAATTATAGTTTGTTTTATATTATATATATACTGTTTTATATACATCAGAATACTATTATATATAGAATACTATTATTATATACGTTTTTGTGGATATATATCAGAATACTATTATTATATGA